ATGAATTTAAAAATATATCTTATGGGGGCTGGAGAGATGGCTCTGCAGGTAAGAGCATTAGCTGCTCTTGCAGAGAGGACTTGAGTTCAGTTCCCAGGACCCACATGGCAGCTAACTACTGTCCACAATTCCAGTTGCAGGGGATCCAGTACCCTCTTCTGGTTTCCATGGGCATTGCAGGACACAAGTAAACTTACATCATGAGGGCAAAACACTCATACACATAAAATAAAAATAACAAATAAAATACTTAAAAATACTTACAACTTTCAGAATTCTAAGTTTTTCATATTTCCTTTTTCAATGCTACCAATTTCCTGAGGTATATTTTATTCTTGAAACTACCTAATCACATTGCATGGAAACAGAATACAAAAACATTCACAAAAACTTTAAGGAGAAAAATAAGAGACTTTCATACAATCTCAGAAATAATCAAATTACCTGTGTGTGTTCTTGATCCTGTGTTATAAAGATGCACGTGTGTACACATGGAGGCCATAGACACTGAGTGTCTTCCACAATTGTTCCCTACTTTATCATGACAAGGTCTCTCACTGAACCTGGAGCTCACTGATTCAGCTACACTAGATGACCAGGAAGACCATGGACTCCTCCTAGCTCTGCCTACCCAGCACTGGAATTATATCATGTACCAAGCTGTGCCTGGCTTTTTTTTTTTTTTTTGGCATGGGTGGTTGGTCTTGAACTCAGGTCCTCATGGTTATGTGGCAAGTACTTTACTTACTAAGACATCTTTCCAGCCCATCAATTGCCTTTTATTTTGAGACAGGGTCTCACTATGTAGCCCTGGCTGTTGGCTGGCCTACAACTCACTATGTAAACCAGGTTGACCTTAACCTCACAAAGATCTACTTGCCTCTGCTTCATGGGTGCTGGGATTAAAGGCATGTGCCAACATACCAGCTTCATCAATTGCCTTTTAAGAAAGGAAATTAATTAGCTTTAATTCATGGGAACTTGAATGGAAAGTATTTTGGGGGTGGGGTATTGAACCCATAATCATCCCTTTTTACTGACAGAAAAACTAATAGATACAGAATATATCTGACTCAAGAATCTAAACAAAGTGTATATTCTCTGACTATTCTAGATAAGGTAAATACCTAATACTGAATTTGTTTCAGTTAAGAATGTAATTGTTTTCATTATGTATTCATGCCACTCATGAAAATGAATAAGCCAGTAAGGTGGCATATGCCTGTAATCCTAGCACTTGGGAGGCTGAGGTAGGAGGCTATGGAGTTAGAGACCAGTCTGGACTGTATGGTAAATTTTAGGCCAGCCTAAGCCATGTAGTGAGATCCTGTATCAAAACACCTAAATTAATTAAACTGTTTTCATGGCTTTGGTTATGAAAAAAATTGTATGACTAAAGAATATTCTCCTAAAGGAAGGAGACTAAGTCCATGATGTGTGAAGGGCAAACATGCAAAGAGATGGTCCAGTGGGCCAGTGGGCCATGTCAGAACATAGCAAGGGTGACAAGGCCATTTACCCAGAGTGGCAGCCTGGCAGGGGTGTGTTGGAGCCCAAGTAGAATGAGGAACACATTCATGGAAGTACACAATCTGACATGAAGAGGTGAAGTGGGGTGAGGAAGACAGCCACACAATTCAGGGATGGCAGGAGGAATGGCAGTTTGGCACATTCTAGGGGGATTTAACCAAATAAGTTACAGATTCAGAGTTCTTAGTGCCAAGAGGGGAATTAGAGAGAAAACTAGAATGAACTCTATGGTTCTGGATTGTAAAGAAGGGGTAACTGCAAAGTCCAAATTTTTAGGCATATGGTTAGAAAAGTGCAGGTGTAAGTGCATGAAAGTACATTTCTGTGTGTGGAGTGTGAGGGTGTGACCCCTAGCTCTGCTGAGCTACCCTAGAAACAACAACAGATTCCAGAAGCAATGAACATATATACTTCAAAGATCTTGGTTTCTAACTATTGCTGTCTACTAACAGGACCCAAGGCTATGTGGAAAACACAAAAGACCTAAATGAAAGTGTATATGTATGTATATATATGTATGTATATATATTTCCCCCCGCTCCCAAAGAATAACAGAGAGGCTGGGGACACAGTTTCGGGGATCAGAATGTTTAACACACAAGCATAAGGACCTGAGTTTGGATGCTCAGCAAACACAGAGGCCATGGAGACCTGACTGCATGCTGTGGGAGTTGTCACCAGAGAAGCCGGCATATAGTCTTTCACATAGTATTTCTGCCACTTGATTACAGGTGCAATCAGGAAGTAAATAAAAGCATCATGTGATTTAAAAAGTTAAATATTAATGAAGCCTCTTTTTATTTCCTCTACCTGCTAGGAGGCTGATGAAAATAGTACAGCAACACAGGCCCACCCACCTGCATAGTGACCCTCCTCACACCAAGGATTCAAGCACCCTCCCTCTAGGCCACTCTGCACTGTTCTCATGAGCTTGGTTACAAAAACAAAGTAATTGACTGAAGAGTATTCAATAATTTATTTTTATTTATTATTTTTATTTTATGTGTATGAGTGTATTGCCTGCATGTATGTGAGTGCACCCATGTCGTGCAAAGCTGCAGAGGTCAGAAGAGGGCTTTGGATTCCCCTGGAACTGGAGTTAAGGACGGTTCATAGCTGCCATGTGGATGCTGGGAATCAAACCCAGGTCTTCTGCAAGAGCAGTCAGTGCTCTTAACCACTGAGTCATCTCTCCAGCCCTGAGTATTCAATAATTTAAACTAAAGAATCATCAGTTTATTTTAAATTGAGAGGCTACAGCTTACCAATTATTTAGAATCCTTTTAAAATCTTTTAACAAAATAGAGCTAGTATAGTTTGTTATTCTAAAAGTAAGTTATGCTCAAAGAATAATGGGAGCATGTAAAAATGACACAAAAGTCATCAGTCATCTTGAAGAATCTCTCAGTGACCAAATGGGAGATAATTTCAGCACCGACATCAATATTAGGAAATATTTCATTATTTTACAAATTCTAGGGCAAAATATGTCTTTGAGACATTTTTTTTTTATATCTTTCCTTTCATCCTTTTTTTATTTTTTATTTTTTGGCTTTAGTGAGACAACAGGGTCTTCTTGTAGCCCCAGCTGCCCTGGAACCCTGTGCCACCATACTTGGCAAGACATATTTTTCCTTTACCTCCTTCTCAACATGTAAAATGAAGAAAACAAGTAGCAAGTAAACCCAACAACAAGAAAAAGTTCATTCAATTGTGATTTAGAATGGATAAGCATGATGTATTGAAATTTCACTGTGCATGAGTTTTGTTGAAGGTGCTATCTGGGAAGTGGGTGTAAAAATAAATAAATAAATAAAAATAAATAAATAAATAAATAAATAAATAAATGAATGAATGAATGACAGTCAGGACCAGTGTGGTGGCTCAGCAGGTAAAAGGCACCGGCAATTTGAGTTCAATGCCCAGAACCCATGCAATGCAATCCATCTGCACTCTGGCACACAGCGAGTGCATACATAATAATAAAAATAAATAAGTAATTTAAAAGGTAGTCAGGAGACATTTCCATGAAGCCTGGAAGGACTTAACACCTCCAGGTGTCACAGTTGTGGGGGCTGATCCACAGTTACTGCCAAGCCCTTGTAGAGAGCTGAGTCCTCAAGAACTGAAAATCAATCAATCAATCAATCAATCAAACTATGCCTTGGTGTAATTAAAATGGAGATCAAAATGTAAAAATTTAAAATAGAGAGTTAATGCATCAAAGAAGCACTCCCCATATTGATTTCAGTGTTTCAATAGTGGGGTATTGAGAGAAAACATAAAAATAGATCCCAAATATCCAAACTGGAAAATTACAAATTAGGTCCATATTTAGAGCCTGCCTACAGATGCACTGATTGATTTAACTAACCAGAGAAGTGCTGATTTGTTTCTTGGGGGGTGTTTGTTTTGTTTTGTTTGAGACAGGATCTCCCTGTAGCTGCTGCTGGCCTGGAATTTGGTTATGTAGACCAGACTAGCCTTGAACTCACAGGGATCCACCTGCCTCTGCCTCCTGAGTGCTAGGATTAAAGGCATATGTCACCATGCCCAGCAACAGAAAAATTTAAAAGGCCTATCTTTAAGAAGTTTATCAGAGAACACATATAAAACAAGGTTAAAATTACAAATGGGGCTGGAGAGATGGCTTAGCAGTTAAGAGCACTAGCTGTTCTTCCAGAGGACTCTGGTTCAGTTCCCAGAACCACATGGTGGCTAAGGATCATCTGTAACTCCAGATCCAGGGGATCTGATGCCCTCTTCTGGCCTCCACGAGCATTGGACGACACAGGTGCACTTACATTCAAGCAGGCAATACACTCATACGCACCAGTAGGAGGGCCTAGCCCAGGGTGCCATTTAAGGGCTATAAGGTAGCTGAGCAGACTTGAGGAATCTAGCCAAAAAGCTATGTGCCTCCGTGGATTCTGCTTCAAGCACCCACCTCAAGTTCCTGCCTTGTCTTCCCTCAGTGATAGATTGTAACCTGTAAGCTGAAAGAAATCATTTCCTTCCCAAGTTACTCTGGGTCAGTGTTTTATCACAGCAACAGAAAAGTAACGATTAGAACACTTATAATCTCAGTCCTGGGGAGATGAATGCAGGGTATTAGGAGTTCAAGGCCAGCCTGGGTGCACTAGAATCTGTCTCAACACAAGACAAATAAAACAAAACTCTAAGCATTGTTTTATGATTCTGGTTTTTCTGAAGGTGGTTTGCAATAAATACAACTGTAGATTATCAATAAGAGCTATAAAATCATAGAAAAATACAGACATAGGTAATTCATATAAAAATATATAACATATTTAACATAGATGCTCCTTAACATGGAGTTATGTCCCAATAAATCCACTGTGAATTGAAAATACCTACAATTGGGAAAAATCATGTAACACAAATCCATTTCATAATAAAGTATGAATGTAATTTATTGAAAGATGCTTTTTTATTTGAAAAAAATTTTTAAGGGGAGAGCATGAACTCAGTCCTCCACTACCACAAATTATACAGTCAAGTTTCCCACATTTGGGGAAATTGCAGGGTTCAGCACATCTGGAGTGCAACGGATAAGCCTCACCATGGGAAAACCATCTTCATGATCATGGTAAGTATTGAAAAAAAAATTAAAGATGTAATTCTATTGAAAAGTGCTGGAATTATAGTCACATGCCACTGTTCTCAGCTTTTTACATGGGTGTTTGGGATCCAAACTCAGCTCCTCATGCTTATGTGGCAGCCATTTACCAACTAAGCTACTTCCCCAGCCCTCCAATCCCTCATTCTGAACTCAGGAAAACTGAGGTAAGCCTAATGAGTGACAGATCTGGAATATGCTACTGTTTCTTTCACTTCCAGTTCTGAGAACTTTCCAAAATACATTTCTAAATTGCTGAGGCCTCTTAATATTCAAATCGCAGTATTTCAGGGTGACAGGCCTCTGCCTCATATTCAAAGCCAAACATAATTGTATTTCTGGATGTAGATAATGTACCCTAGTAATAACCCTGGAACACGACAGAGCTGAGAGTGTATTTTTTTTAAAACTTAAAAAATTTATGTAGACCAGGCTGGCCTTGAACTTACAGAGATCAGCCTGCCTCTGCCTCCTGAGTGCTGGGATTAAAGGCGTGCGCCACCAGGCCTGGCATTTATTTATTTATTTTATGTGTATGCATGTATTGCCTGCATGTAGGTAAGTGCACCCATGTCATGCAATGCCTGCAGAGGTCAGAAGCTGTCGGATCCCCTGGGGCTGGAGTTATGGACAGGTGTTAGCTGTCATGCGGGTGCTGGGATTCAAACCCCGGTCTTCTGCAAGAACAACCAGTGTTCTTAACCTCTGAGCCATCTCTCCAGGCCTGAGAGTGTATTTTTTGAAGTGAAGAATTACTACATAAAGACAGCTCAATAACTGTAAGTGGTGTAGTAGCTTGGATCTATAGTGATTATATTTGACAAACAGAAACAGTAATTTCTATTTTGAAATGAAATCTATTGTTATAACATTGTGATTATTTCCTCTACAACCCACCAATTATTAAATTGCACTGAGGACAATCCTTGTATTTTTCACAACAGTGCCTCAAAAATAAGTGCTCAGTGTTGAACTTTGTTTAAGAAAGGGTCTCATGTTGCTCAACTTGGCCTCAAACTCATTTTATAGCCAAGGTTGGCCTTGAACTCCTAATCCTCCTGCCAGGATTATAGGTGTACATCATCATGGCTAACAATGTTTGTTTTTGATGAACTACATATTTACCTCTATGTAGATTGATTAATATAGCTATGTTTTTTTAATAATGGGGATATGCTCTGAGAAATGTTGCCTTAGGTGATCTTGCATTATGCAAACGTCAGTATGTGTACTTACACAAAAAAAGAATGGTTACAATATCACTAGGCAATATACTTCCAGCAGTGTGGCTCCTTAAGGAGGGCCTTTGGGAGCTAATTAGTTCTAGATGAAATCATGAAGGTAGAGTCATGATGATTAATATCCTTACGTAGAAGTGGTTTTCTCTTTCTGCCATGAAAGAACACAGTGGGAGGCAACCATCAGACCAAGAACAGGTACCAAATCTGCTAGAACTTTGATTTTGGACTCCCCAGCCTTCAAAACCATGAGAACCAATGTCCATTGCTTATACCATATACTCTATGGTATTTTGTTATGGCAGCCTAGGTTGACTAAGATACACTGGTTATAGCATATCCTTAAGCTACAGAGTACAGTTCTGAGCTTTCTTCCCATCTATGATCAGTGGCAAGTTTTCACCAATGCAAGTTTTCTGCAGAACTGGGATGTGAAACTTCCTTTAAAGAAAGAGATATGTCCTCCCTTTTCCATTTTGCTCCCTTTTCTATTTCCCCAACTGGAATATGAACCTGGAACATATGTAGTAAGTATATTTGACCGCAAGGGTTAGGGCCACATCACTGAAAGCAGCAGAGCGGGCCCACCCCTTACTGAGGTGCTATTGGCAGTTGAAAGATGCTGGAGAGAAAGGATCATTCATTTTTTCAATATTTTATTATTTTTATTTGATGTGTATGAGTGTATGGCCTGCATATGTGTAAGTGCATCCATGTCATGAAATGACATGGAGTCACAGAAGAGCATCAGATACCCTGGAACTGGAGTTATGGGTGGTTGTTAGCCATCATGTCGGTGCTGGAATTCAAACCCAGGTCTTCTGCAAGACCAATTAGTGCTTTTAACCACTAAGCCATCTCTCCAGATCCAAGACTTATTTTTTGAAGCAAAGACTTTCCAGCTATTTTGATGTTGACTGCCATGTGGGTGCTGGGAACCAAACCTGGGTACCTTGAAAGAATAGCTAGTACTCTTAACTGATGAGCCATCACTCCAGTCCCAGAATCATTCTTTTTTGAGGGTGTTCACACAGGTAGGTTTCTCATATACCAGCGAGCCCCACATTTGTGCACATATAGGGAGCACTAATTGAATTTAGTGGATTATCAAAAAGAAGGGGGCGGGGTGCTGGAAGGCTGGCTCAGATGTTAAGAGCACTAGCTACTCTTGCAGAGAACCTGGGTTCAGCTCCCAGCACCCACACAGAAGCAAATAACCTCTTATAAAATTCCTGCTCCAAGGGATCCAACATCCACTTCTAGTCTCCACAGGCACTGCATGACATGGGTGCACTTGCTTACATACAGGCAAAACATTCATACAGAGAAAATAAAAATAAATAAAATAAAATAAAATAAAATTAAGATATTAAGTTGGGAAGGAAAGATGGTGGGAATTGGGAGGAAAAAAGTAGATGGTAGATAGGATCATATTTCATTTATGAAATTCTCAATAAAGAAACTTTCTAAATAAATAATAAAACTACAAAGGAAAAAGACAGCAGAGAAGCAAGGTAGGATGAGTTTGAGTACCCAAGCTCAGTGCAACCACCACATCGAAACTGGAATATGTACACAACCTGATACTGGAAGAGAAAAATAAAGATCTCTTTAGTCTAAGCCACTGTTTCGGTCACTTCAGAATCTGTACCTTGGGTAATTCAGACCCAAGGAAGTCTGATTCCTCTCACCTCTGTGGCCACCTGCACTCACATGCACATGCTCATGTGCACACAAACTAAAATAAAATAAATATTTAAACAATTTTAAAAAAGAAACTACTTACTCTCTCCTCACTTGATTATTTAGTCCATAAAGAAAGAGACTAATATCAAATATTAAGGAGGTCATGGAAAATAAAAATTCTTCTTCAATGCTGGTAGGAGCATAGAATGTGATAGGAAAACAGTCTGGGAGTTTCTTAAAAGCTAAATAAACTTATATATGACTCAGCAATTATACTTGTAGGTATCTATCCAAAAGAAATGAAACCAGATGGGAATGTTCATGATAGCTTTATTTGTAGTAGTCAAAACAGGGCTAGAGAGATGACTCAGCAGTGAAGAACACTGGCTGCTCTTGCAGAGGACCTGGTTTGATTCCCAGCACCCACATGGTGGCTAACAACTGTCTGTAACTCCCGTTCCAGGGGATCCAATGCCCTCTTCTGAACTCTGCGGGCATTGCACAGCATGGGTGCACTTATATACATTTAGGAAAGACACTCACACACATAAAATAAAAATAAACTAAATAAAATTTAAGAAAACTAGAAACAAGTAAGTTCATCAGTTGGTAAACTAATAAACAAAATCTGAGATAATCATACTTTGAAACACTATTAGCAATAAAAAGGAACAAATTACTCATATACATCATAACAGGTGAATCTCAAAAATCAAGCTGCTGGGCTTGGTGGCACACATCTTTAATTCCTTCACTCGGGAGGCAGAGGCAGGTGAATCTCTTTGAGTTTGAGGCCAGACTGCTCTACATAGCTAGTTCCAGGCCAGCTGGGGCTACAGGGAGACCCTGTCGCAATAAAAAGGCAAAACCAAACAACAAAAAAAAAACCCCCAAAACAAACCAAACCAAAAACCCCCAAAACAAAACAAAAAATCATGCTAAATGAAAGATGTCAGGCACAAAAGACTACATACTACAATATTATATTTATATAGTATTTTCAGAGAAGGTAACTGTATAGATAGCAGATTGGGGTGACAGAAAAAGGAGTGACTACAAATGGGTACAAGGGAATATATGCATTTGTATGGTGTAATGATGGATATATAGCTCCATAAATCACTGACTGGTGCAAATCGATGAATCTCACATATATACATTATACCTTGAGATCTGTTCTAAAACAAAACAAAAAAAAATAGCTGAAATCTTTCTTCAAAGGTCAAAAAGGGGAGACTGTCATATTATTAGCATAAGGCTTTACTAGTCCCTTCCAGTCCCACTTCAAATCTGTGCCTATTACAGATTCCTGTGCATGCACTGAAAAGTTTAACTGTGGTAGAGACAATGAAAAACCTGGTCACTCAGCAGCCAGTCCTTACTATCTTTCACCTTGGGGAAACCATATGATAGAGTATGGTTGTGAGCAAAGGTGATATGTGCAGTTATATCCTTAAGCCCCTAAAAGGGAAGAACATGTCCTCATTTGATGGCACTTTGTCAGGGAGAGGGCAAGAGCTAAAACTCCAGCCCAGACCCTTAGATGGACGTGGCTTGTGAGGCCTGCTTCCAACCCTGTGAGAAAAGCCACTAAAGATTTTAGAATACTATAATTACATTTTAGGACATGGAAAAAAATGTAGCTCATCCCTCAACATTTGTTATCTGCACAGTATCTTAGGCAGAACTATCTTTATGAGTCATTTGCAGACCAGTAATAAGTATGTTCTTATCTAATTACAGACAAATGTATGCACCAACTTCTGTTGGTTTTCAATATTTAAGATCTGTTGAAGATCAATATGCTGGGAAATCTATCCTGGACACTAGTATGTATCTAAGGTATATGCATTTAAAAATGTTCTAGAAAGTTAATGAAGCTTTGAAATTTGCTTCTATCTTTTGGATGCCAAGACTTCTTTTTTTCTTATTTATGTAATTATTTATTTATTTTTACTTAATATATATGAGTGTTTTGTGTGCATGTACATAAGTACACCATGTGTGTGCAATGAATGCCCTTGGTGGTCAGAAGAGGGCATCAGATCCCCTGGAACTGTAGCTAAGG